TACACCTGGCTAATTTTTGTACTTTCAGTAGAGACGGGGTTTCACCATGTTGGTCAGGCTGGTCTCGAACTCCTGACCTTGTGATCCGCCCACCTCGGCCTCCCAAAGTGGTGGGATTACAGGCATGAGCCACCGTGCCCGGCCACCTCAGGGTTACTTTTTTTGTTTGTTTGAGACAGGGTCTCGCTCGTCACCCAGGCTGGAGTGCAGTGCTGTAATCTCGGCTCACTGCAAGCTCTGCCTACCGGGTTCACGCCATTCTCCTGTCTCAGCCTCCCGAGTAGCTGGGACTACAGGTTCCCACCACCACGCCCGGCTAATTTTTTGTATTTTTATAGAGATGGGGTTTCACCATGTTAGCCAGGATGGTCTCGATCTCCTGACCTCATAACCCGCCCACCTCGGCCTCCCAAAGTGCTGGAATTACAGGTGTGAGCCACCACGCCCAGCCCACCTCAGGATTACTTTTAAGCAAATCCTCAGACACAGAAAATTTAATCTACAACTACTTCAGTTTGTGTCTCTAAAACATAAGACTCTATTTTTAGACATAACTTCGATATTACTGTCATACCTGAAGAAATAGTAATTTCTTAATAGTGCTAGTATCAGTTAGTGCTCAGATTTCAATTTTCTTTTTTTTTTTTTTTTTTTTAGTATTTTGAGATGGAGTCTCACTCTGTCGCTCAGGCTAGAGTGCAGTGGCGCCTTCTCGGCTCACTGCAACCTCCGCCTCCCTGACTGAAGTGATCCTCCCACCTCAGCCTGCTGAGTGGCTGGGATTACAGGTGTGTGCCACCGCTCTAGGCTAATTTTTGTATTTTTTGTAGAGATGGGAGTCTTGCCATGTTGCCCGGGCTGGTCTCGAACTCTGGGGCTCAAGTGATTCTCCTGCCTCAGCCTCCCAAAGTGCTGGGATTACAGACGTGAACCACTGCACCTGGCGTTCAATTTTCTTTAGATATTTTTTATAGATTCTTCAAATCAGAATCTGAACAACGTCCAAACATTGCAATTAGATAAAATGTTAATAATGAAATAATACTTTACTACATTGATGCCCTAACGTATTTAACCATTTTTCTCGTTTTTTGAACATAGAAATTTTTTCCAACTTTATTATAAATCATACGGTGGGGAATATTGGGGAGTATTTGTCTGGAGGTCTAAAGTGTGTTCATAGCTGCAGTGTGAGGTCATTGGGTCTGATTGTAAGAACGTGGGGGCTCACGTCACCATGTTGGAAAGGGCAGTGTGAGGTTATTAGGTCTGAGTGTAAGAACGTGAGGGTTCACATCACCATGTTGGAAGGGTATTTAATAGAGAGATATATGGTGAAAAGAAAAGAAGAAAAGAGCTGAAGAAAGGAGAGAGCCAGAGAATGTCTGGGCAGGAACCGAGGTGGCCAGCGGAGAAAGGAAGACGTCTTCCTGGGCTGCTTCAGTGTGTGCCGACAGCAGGTTTTCCGTTCTAGAGTGGATGGCAGGCAGGAAGTGTTGGACAGATGAGATGGCCCATGGAGCGGTGACCTGGGATCAGAGCAGGCCTGCCAAATGGGACCAGGTGGCTGCCCAGCTTCCCTGGAGTGAGGGCTCAGACCCTCCTCCCTGAGATATGCTAATGGGGCTCGGTAGAGAGGGTGCTGCCAGCACCTGAGATCTGCAGCCTTAGGAACTGGCTTTGAGCTTTCTGGAGGGAATGCCTGCTGTGTGGCTCTGACTCAGTCCTGGGACCTCTGCCGGGCAGTGGCGAGGCCACTTCCTGGAGGTCGCCATTTAGCCCTGGGTCATCTTTCATTTCCTGCTTGTGCCAAGGACTTCAAGGCCAGACTGACTAGTGGGAAAACACTAGTCAGTCGTTCAATAATGTTACTATATTCAGCCAGAAATGTGGCCGTGGTGGCGGGTGACAAGGGGATCTCTTAAGCAGTCAGTCGGGCACGGTGTCTCATGCCTGTAATCCCAGCACTTTGGGAGGATCGGTTGAGCTCAGGCGTTCTAGACCGGCCTGGCCAACATGGGGAAGCCCTATCTCTACCCCAAAAAATGCAAAAAATATTAGCATGCCTGTGGTCCCAGCTACTTGGCTGGCTGAGGAGAGCCTAGGGAGGTTGAGGCTGCAGTGAGCCGTGATCATGCCAGTGCACTCCAGCCTGGGCAACAGAGTGAGACCTTGTCTCAAAAATTAATGATAATAAATAAAAAGCCGTCAGTCCAATTCCATACGCGCAGTTGCCGCTGTGGTCTGTGGCCATGCCGCCGTGAACATGCTGAACGTTCTCTCATCTCAGAGGCTGGGCAGGGCC